TCGCGATGTTGATGATGATGCTGATGATGAGTGTGATGATAATTGTGAGGATGATGGTGATGACGACGATGATGATGATGATGATGTTGATTCTGCTGATGATGATGACGATTATGTTGACGGTGACGGTGATGATGGTGGTAGTGATGGTGATGGTCATGGTGATGGTGATGGTGGCGATGATGATGATGATGATGATGATGATGATGATGATGCTGATGATGATGATGAGGAGGATGACGATGGTGATGATGATGATGATGATGATGATGATGATGATAATGATGATGATGATGATGATGATGATGATGATGATGATGATGATGATGATGATGATGATGATGATGATGATGTTGGGATGGTGGTGGTCATGGTGATGATGATGGTAATGAGGATGATTATGCTGATGATGGTGGTGGGGATGGTGATTGTGATGGTGGCTGTGGTGGTGGAGGTTGTGGTGGTGGTGGTGGTGATAAATGATGATGAATCTAGTTTGGGCCGTCTTGGGGCTGTCTTGGCCTCCTGTGAGGCAGTCTGGGGGGTCCATTGGGGTCCTCCTGGGCCCTCGTGGGGCCCTCTGGGCCGTATGGTGGGTGTCTGTGGGGTCGTCTTGGCGCCGTCTTGGGCCGTCGAAGGGACTTCTGAGTTCGTCTGGGGTCCCACTGGAAGCCAGCTTGGAGCCGTCTTGTTTGCCTCTCCGGCCATCGTGGAGTTCTCCTGGGCCGTCTCGAGCTGACGGCAGCCCGAAAAGGCGAGAATGCGAAAATAATTCAAAAACCTCAGGAAAACAATGAGTTTGCCTCTGCGGACCCTGTTGGAGGTCCTCTTGTGGCCCTTTCGGGCCCTCTTGGGGACAACTTCGGCCGTCTTGAAGCAATATTCGGTCACTTTGGAGCCATCTCGGGCTGTCTTCGAGGCACAGTTGGCCATCTTGATGTAATTGGTTGCCTGCACGGGCCGTCTTGGAAGCTCGGGACGCATACCCGTTGTTCGTAACAAGGGATCGTGGCTTGGGAGGCCCTGGAACGCTTGCTTGTGAGTAGCACCTGGCAATGTGGGAAGTGCACGATCCTCGAGCGGGTGCGCGTGGGATGAGGGTTCTAAAAGTGGCAGCCATGCGGGAAGTGCGCAATCCTCGAGCGGGCGCCCATGGAATGATGTTTCAGGCATTAGCTGCCATGCGGGACGTGCACCATCCTCGAGCGGGCACGCGTGGAAGGGGAGGTTAGGCATGAGCTGTCATGCGGGAAGCGCACCATTCTCGAGCGGGCACGCGTGGGAAGGGGGTTTAGGCATGAGCTGCCATGCTGGAAGTGCATCATCCTCGAGCCGGCACGAGGGAAGTTGTATCGGTGAGCAGGGGGGATGCACGCAGCAGTCTGCTGGTAGAGGGGGGACGGTCACGATTACAAACACCCTACCAGGCAGCTCTTGCCGGTCTTCCACGCCTCGACGTGCCAGGAGGCATGTTGGCGGCGTGCGGCCCCCTTCCAGGAGATTCTTTGTTCCTGCGGCGGCGGGCGGACCTTCAGGGATGGGCGGACGAATGGCGGACCTTCACGCGGGCGGTCGTGACAGGAGGAAAGAGCGATTGAGGAGGCCAGATTTGTGCGAACACGGGGTTCGAGCCAATGACTGGGCTTGTGCGAGCACCAGAGAGTTCTACGAACGCGACTTTGCTCGAAGATACAGTTTGTATCACGGAGCCCCAGGAGGCCACAGAAGATCTCAGAGGACTCCAGGAGTGTCTGGACGGCCCTAGGATGCGCCAGGAGGGCTCTGCCCACACCGAGGGTAGGCAGTCGGGAGGAGGCACAGGTTTATACGATTGTGCCTATCCATTTGAGCATCCAGCTGCCTGCCGCCGCCGTGCCAGCCAAGCATTCTGGGCGGCGACTATTCGAGAGGGCATGGGGGGGCCGTCACGTGTGACACCTCGTGTTTCCAGGCTCGGGAGAGCCGTGATGAGGATGATGGGGAGGATGACAATGATACCTATAACGATGGTGATGCCGGTACTGATGATGATGATGATGATGATGTTGATGATGAGGATGGTGATGATGCTGATGATGGTGATGATGATGGATGATGGATGGTGGATGATGATGATGATGATGATGATGACGACGATGATCATGATGATGATGCCGGTGAGTATGACGATGATGGTGATGGTGGTGATAGTGGTGATGATGATGATGATTACGATGATGAGCGTGATGAATATGATTGTGACGAGGGTGATAGTGGGGGTAGCGGTGGTGGTTATGGTGGTGTTGATGATGTTGATGATGGTGATGATGTTGATGATGATGGTGATGATGATGACGACGCTGACGCTGACGATGATGCTGCTGCTGGTGATGATAGTGGTAGTGATGATGATGATGATGATGATGATGATGATGAGGAGGAGGAGGAGGAGGAGGAGGAGGAGGAGGAGGAGGACGTACATATTTTTCCAAAAATGTGCATACTTACACAGGAGGTCCCGGCCCCGTGGCACCACAGGGGCGGGGGCGTATGTACCGAGCGGCCCCTGCCCTCCCCGAGGGCTCGCCCGGAAGCCCCCTGAGTTAGAGACGGCCCCAGGGCGCCCCACGACCAGGCCAAGACAGCTTCCAGACTCCAGACTGACCAGGACGCCTCCAGGGGGCGCCTCGAGAGCCCCAGGAGCGTTCGAGAAAGCCCGAAACGGTTTCAAGACGGCCAACACGTCGCATGGACGTTCCAAGAGGCCCCCTGAGAGGGCACGGGCTGTCAAGGTTGGACGATTTCAAGGCCGTCGATCGTCCAAGGTTGAACACTCCCCGCGGTGTCGGACACCACACGGTCCTCTTGAGGAGCGCCGACGCCGACGTGGCACGCGGCCTCCGAGAGGACCAAACAGGCCCCCAAGAAGCCCACGACACCCCCGAAACAATCCGAAAGAGATTCAGATTCTGAAGCATGGCCGTCCCGCGGTCTCGTAGCGGGCCCGAGCCTGGCGGATCCCCCTTCATCATATTCGTCGTCCTTCTGGATAATTCCGTGCTCCGGGAAGGGTTGTACACAACCTATGCTTGTAACGTCTTGGGTTGCAGTCGCAGTCGAAACCACAGCCTACCCATAGACATCCTCATACGCTCCGCCACAATCATCAATGTCATGAGCACGGGCATGTTCATCATCGCCACCGCCGTCATGACTTTTGTCGTCCCCATGCTCCACTCATCGTCGTCATCGTCCAGATCGCCACTGCTATCACCATTGTCATTTCCGTGGTCATTAACCACCGCATTCCCATTCTTACCATCATCGCGGTACGTATGGTCATCGTCACCATCGTCGGCCTGATTGTCGCCCTCATGCGTACCATCATTTTCAGCATCGTCCACCACATCGTCGTGGGCTTTCGCCATACGCATTTACATCGTCACAGTCATCCAAAACATCATCGTTCCCGTAATCCTCAACATTCGTACCCTCAGCATTGTCATCTGGGTACGGCCAGTGGTGAACAGCGGCCAGTGCAGGGGAAGGGGTGGAACCCTCGGGCTGTAGTCATATCCGAAATGGCAGCCTGAACGTCGACATCTCACTGCGAGCTGGGATTCCAGAGAGCCTGAGCGCGCGCGAAGCCCGCGCGATGATTCTAGCCCACACAACTCGACCAGGCAGGCCATGTAATTATTCTTCCACACCTCCGCTGCTGGGGGGCACGGTGGCGGATTTGTGCGACCCCCATTCCGACCCCGATGATCGGAAGTGACAGTCTCCAGACAAGTCGCTGTTTAGTGTTTCCGCGCCATGTTCCGCACTCTTCTGTCCTAAGGTTGCTTTCCCCCCTCATCTTCATCCTCCTCCTTCCCCACCCCTTCCCCTTATACATAAGTCCTCCTTGTCGTTTCCCCCGACGTGCCGATACAGTGGGCCGGGCGTTTCGCCATTGATCTCCTCACCATACATGTTCGTGGAGCTCGAAGTTTGAAGCAGTTTTGAAGATGGAGGGCTGGTGGTTTCCAAAATGTGGTGCTTGTTTCAGCGACGCGCACATTGATGCGTCCTTAAAGCGTGCAACAATGTCAAGGATGGACAGCGGCTGGTTTTCAACATGTGGCTATCGCTTTAGCGCCGCGCGCATTCGTCTTAAACGGTTGCAGTTGTTTCAAGGGTTCGTATGGTTAAAGTCCCATGAAGGGCGGTCTGGCATGACTTAGGGCTGTCAGGACGCAACAGTCACGTCGATCCGCGGCGCTGAGGTCCCAGGAATGGCGTTTTGGCACAATCGTCAACTCTCAGACGGGTGTTTTTGCATGGGCCTACGAACATGGAATTTTGGAGGGAGGGTTTCTTTGCCTTTGGTTTACACTGGTCCTGCTCCTCCGCCTCCTCTTCGTCCTCCTCCTCCTCGTCGTCGTCCTCCTCCTCCTCCTCATGTTGCCACATTGGCTCGAAAGTCGCCCTGTCACCAGTCGCGCCGCTTCTCGAACCCTCGCTGGAACGAACCAAGACGCTCCACTGGGGTCCTCGTCCTCCCCCTCGTCGGCCTCCTCCCAAGGGAAAGGAGGAAAAGGAAGAGGTGGCGGGACGAAGAGCAGGAGGAGGAGCAGGAGGAGCAGGAAGGATGACGAGGAGGAGGAGGAGGAGGACAATGGGAAGAAAGAAGGGGTGGAGGAGGAGCCGGAGAAGGAGTACGATGCAGCATGAGTAGCAGCAGGAGCAGCAGCAGGAGCCGTTCTTCCTCGGCCGTGCCTCCCAGCCCCGCCTTGCAGGACTCGCGAGAGGCCGTCCGGGTGCGTAGGTGCACCATCGATTTCTTCTTGGAGGACCGCGGAATGGAGGACGAGGAGAAGGAAGAGGAGGAGGAGGCTTGGTATTTCTCTCACTTATCCCCTTCTCCCCCCCCCCCTCTCCTCCTCCCCCTCCCCTTTTCAAGGAATAAAAAAGCTGTTCCTCGGGCTTCTTTGTCCTGCCAGTCGTGTACGTTCATCGATGTCGTCGTGCTTTTCGAGGGTTGAGGCGGCAGGGGATGGCGTTCACTTGTTGTGGAGATTCGCATCGCGAAGGGGGCAGTATCATTTTCATTTCCACGGCCCGTCGCGAGGGAGCGATGTAGCGAGCTGAATGCTTGCCTATGCTTGAGCCCAGGTTCGGCTAATGAGACTAATAGCGGCTTGTCGGGCAGCGACGACATCAAGAAGAGCTACGAGGTCGTTAGTGAGCGGGCCGATTGCATGTTCATGCCCATGGACGCGGAAACGGCGTGAACGTTCTTGTGGGCTAGCGCGCTCGCGCGGTAAGCTCACCGGAGTGTGAGCTCATCGGGAGGATGTATATGCCAGGCGTAAGCCGAAGGCGGGATGCGGTGTCTCAGGCCCCACGGCACACCACCGCCCCCCCGTGCTGGCGTGAATCGCAGTGGCAAGCCAGAGCTGTGAAGAGGAGGAGCATCGGGAGGAGCAGGACGAGCAGGGAGGAGGGGATTTTGACGCTCGTCCTCTTTGGGCCTCCTGGCGGGCCCTCTTCGCCTCAGCTGGATCCGCTTCAGAATCTGGGTCGAAGCGCTTCCCAGGACAGGTCCGATGAGTGGCAGGAGGATGCTAACCCACGGGGCCCAAAAGCATCGTGCAGTTGTCAGATTCAGGTAAGACGCTCTTGCTCTCAGGTGGCTGTAGCTTGTGGAAGAGGACTGCACCGACGCACCTCGTGCAACCAAACAGACTTCTGAAGCTGTCTTTGGTGGCCTGGCGTTGGGCGGGCAGGGTATCGCAAGAACACGTCGCTGAGCCAGATGTACCGCCGCCGCATCTTGGCTGTTGATCGACCGCTCCCTACCGCAGCCTGTCAGGAACTTTGGCTCAGCGTGTCGCTCCGCCGAATCTGGCCCAACGCGCCTCGGCGCGACACGCATTCTATTTCGCACTCCCCAGGCGCCCATGTGCCGAGGTTTTCTCAGGAGGGAAAAACACGCAGACACAATTAATCGTCGATTCCCAGAAAAATATAAGAAAATATGGGAAGCGAGGGGGAAGACGAAAACCAAGAAAATATGCAAAAGTATGGGGGAATCCTGTTATTTGTGTGTATTTGTTTGTGTGTCCCTGGGCCCCTTTATTTTCCCAGCCTCCCGCCCCGCGGAGCGGAGCGACACGCCATCCGCTTGCAAGGCATAGCGTCTCGCCCGGGCCGCCGCCGCCGCCACGACACACTGACCAACAGTTCCCGACCAGGAGCACGCGGAGTGCAAGCGCGCCGTGCGGGAGCACAGCGGCTGTGCTGTCGTGCAGGCAGCCTGGAGGCCAAGTTGGCAGAGAAAGACACAAGGCAGCCCGGCAAGGTGGAGCCCCACGTTCTTCTGACGGGCCCGTGGTTGCGATGCCAGCAGGCCCAGGCGGTGTGCTGGCTTGCCTCACTTTCGTTGGAGGTGTCCTGGTTTCATGAGAGCTCGTTGCCTTGCGGGCTGGCAGTTCCAAAGGGAACTGGCACGTGGGGTGAATTTGAAGCTGAAGTTGCATCGCAGTCGGAGGAGAAAAGGGGAGGGGGGCGAATCGCGGAGGGGAATACGGGTTTGAAAGAATATTGAGTGGGAGTGGGAAGGAGCATAGTCGATGTCTTCTTGGAGACTTGCGGAGTGGAGGAAGATGAGGAGAAGCAGAAGGAATGCGAGGAGTATTTGGAGTCTAGTTTGCAGCTTCAGCTCAGCTTCCCTTGAGGTGATTGGGCTTCGCAGTGGTAGTCTGAGCATGCCTGGCCATCCTCCATATTTTCTCATAGTCCCCCCCCCTACTCTACTAGTTACTACTCCTTCTCCTATCTTCCCTCCTCGTCCCTCTCCTTCCTTCATATCTATCCTTCTCGTCCTCCGCATCCTCCTCCGATTGTCTTCCCGACTTGGGTCATCTCCGTGCGAAGCAAGGGTTAAGTTCTTGGATGGACGCCATGTGGCCCCTGGTGCCCCAAAAACTCGTGGCCTTGTCTGCTGCTGGCTGGCGGTTTTTCGTCATCCCTCTCACCCAGCCGCGAGACCAGGTTCGCCACCGGCGTTGAGATGTTGGGTCGGATGGGACTAGGACGAGGATAAATCCGTTCTAGGGCGTCCCGGAACGCTCTCTGAGAAGGCCGTGGCGCCCGATGCATCTTCCAGAGCCGCCAGATCTCAGAGATTCTCGACTAATCTTCACCCGAATGTATCCTCATCCTGGCCTCGTCTTGTTGGGGGTCTGGCGAGAATATCGGCAAGAACGTCGTCTGGCGTGCACAGGAGGTGGTGGTGGCCGGCAAGCCACGAGAGAGCTCCAGTAGGAAGAGAAGGAGGCTGGCGACATGGGGGAGGATGGGGGTCCAACGGCCGCGTGAGCCCAGCACTTACCAATCGAACAACACCCACACCATACCCATAATTAGGGGGACAGAGGGGGCTACGGGTGCGTGTCGTTGGATGGGGGCCCTCCAACGCACCTATGGGTGTGGGTGTGTGTTGTTCGTTCGTCAAGCACTTGGACAGTGGAGATCGTGACAGTCACACGATCGGGCACGGCCTTTAGCCGACCTTTAGGAATAGCTCGTCACGATGTCGCTCTAAGTTTTATCTCAGACTCTGGTGCCAGAAGGCCTGTGGCGCGGTCCTGGCGGATGAACGAGCACTTCCGGAGGTCCGCGCGGAATTCTCGGATCGGCGCTGGACCCTCGTCCGTGGCGCGTGGAGCGAGTCAGGGGCGGCGCCAGATGCGCCGCCGATGGATCCAGCGCTGATCCAAGAAGTCCGACCAGACTTTGCAATGTTCTTGGCCATGCGATGAGGCGATGAGATGTTCTCAGATGTGCCCCCACCGTTGGTACCGCAAGCTGAGTGCCCGCTCTCGCATCGGCTCGGGTCGTGCCCACTGTCCAGCACGGAGAAGGCCCGCAGTCCTGTGCAGGCAGGCAGACGTTGACCACGGTCCCTCTTCTCCGCTCTCCCCTTGGCCCATGCCATGCTACCCCTGATTAATCTTGATCTGGACTGTTCTCTGATGGACAGCACACTAGACCTATATCGTCGTCCGCTCTCTGATTGGCTAGGGGGACAAGGGGGCGAGAGGACGAGGAGGAGGAGGACGCAGGAGAAGGAGGAAGAGATCCTTGGGCATGGGCTCCGCTCAGATGCGCGCAGGACGGCTCTATGTGCATCTGCGAGCCCAGACAGAAGAACTCGGGGCTTCAGCAAGGCGACCGCCGAATAAGGAGGGAGGAGGAGGAGAAAGCGGAAGAGGGGGAGGAGGAGGAGGAGGAGGAGGAGGAGGAGGAGGAGGAGGAGGAGGGACAGCAGGAGCACGCGGAGCAGCAGCAGGACCAGGTTGAGGTTTCCGGCTTAGGCGCAAATAGTTCAGTAAAGCCACATACGTTCTAATCGCGGCTCATCTTTAGCTGAGGACCACTTACATTCGTAGCCGCCCTGCTGTTAGTGAGGGCCATGGCAAGGCAGGGGCAGGCGGGCTGGCAAGGCAGCAGATGAGCGGCCCCCAGTCGCGAGCGCTCCTGGTTTAACCAATCCCAGGAGCGGTGTTGCCCGTCTTCGCGCGCAGTCCGCAGTGCGGACACCGCTCTGGCTTGCCCCACCCCGCGGCCGCCGACTCTGTGACCACGCTGCCGGCCAGCACCGCGCGTTGCGCGCCGGCGGCGTCCGGTGCCAGGGTGCCAGCCGCCGAGAAGCCGACCTTGCCCACGCCCATCTGCACGCGCACGAAGCCCGCGCAGCGGGCCGCCAGTACCCCAGCCTCTCGGCGCGCCAAGTGGCCTCGAGCCGGACGGAACGGGTGCCCGACAGCGGGCCCGGCGCGCGCACGGAGTCCGCAAGGCGGGCAGCAGTACCTTTCAGTGGGGCATGTCCCTCTACAGGAGGAAGATTCAAAAACAGTCAAAACAATAGTCTGGGGGCGATTTTATCTTGGGGGGCATGTTCTGCCTGTGCTGTTTCTCCTTTGCTCCAGAGTCCGCCTGTGGGAGGACATGCCTGACCTAACAGTACCTTAGTCTCACGGCGCGACAAGGCCTCGAGCAGGACGGAACGGGGGTCTGGCAGCGGACGTTTTTTGGGGCGCCAGCTTGTTGGCGCGGCGGGCATCCCCGCCGAGATCTCGACGCCGTCTCCGACATCGAGGGCTGGGCGGGATCTGGGTCTGTGTCTCGGCCGTATGCGCAGGATAGCCCTGCTGCGTTGCCGTGGCCACGCCCGAATCAGTCTATCTGCATTGGCCACGGTCTCGAGAATATGGAGAGTCGAAGCCAGGAGTCGCCTCGAAACTCGGAATCGTTTGGGTCGAACCCCCGGGCGGGGCGCATCCGCAAAGCCCGGAATTCCCTTGCGAAGACCGGTATTCTTGGCGACCCGGAGACACGGCATTCTTTACACCGAATGTTGGAATTGGAGAGTCGAGCCAGGATTTCTCTCCGAGATGGGGAGGACGAGGCTCGTCGACGGTGCCATGTGACGAGTAGGGCAATGTAGTTTCTGTTGTGTCGCCCCCCGCGCGTTGCCGCGCGAGATGTGTCGAAGAGGGCAGTTTCTTTTTGCCAGTGGCGTTGCCGCTCTGCTCGCACATGGGCCCGCGCAGGCCTGCTTTAGAACTGAGAAAACTGATTGTGTCAGGGCGGCCGACCCGCGCAGAAGATCTCAATATCGGGTCGTCGAGTGGAGCACCTTTTTCACTCTGGGCCCCCAAGGCGTTGCCACGCGGCGAGTCGAGTGGAATGCTATATGTTCCTCCCCGCGGCTTTGCCACGTTAGGAGTAGGGTGGATTTTGTTTCGCCCTCCCAGGGGTTGCCACGTGGCGAGTAGAGTGGAGTGCTATTGTTTCGCCCCCCCTTGCGTTGCCACGTGGCGAGTTGGAATGGATTCGTATTTTTGTCCGCCTCTTGGCGTTGCCACGTGACGAGTAGAACAGTAGAGTAGTAGTTATGTTTCGCCCCCCCGCGCGTTCGTGCGGCCGATCCGCTTGGAAGATCTCAAAATCAGGGCATCAAGTAGAGCATTTTTGTTTGCCCCGTCCACCCCCCACAAGGCGATGCCACGCGGCGAGTCGAGTGGAGTGCTATATTGTCCTCCCCGCGGCGTTGCCACGCTAGGAGTAGGGTGGGATCTCTTTTCGCCCCCAAGGCGCTGCCCCGTGGGGAGCAGTGTGGAGTCCTACTTTTCGCCCCCCCCCCCCCCCCCCCCCCCAGGCGTTGCCACGCGACGACAGGAGTGGATTCGTGTTGTTGTCCGCCCCTCGGCGTTGCCATGTGACGAGATGAGTCGAGTAGTGGTTTTATCTCGCCCCCCGCGCGTTGACGCGTGGCGCGTCGAGCGGAGCAGTTTCTTTTCGCCCCGTGGCGTTGCCGCTCCGCGCGCCCATTGGCCCGCGCAGGCTTGCCCTAGAATGAGAACTCTGAATGTGTTCGTGCGGCCAGTTCGCGCTGACACATTCAGAGGGGGGAGGGGATAGCTTCCAACGGGCCGTAAAAAGGGAGGGGGGCTTCAGGCAGGGGAGGACCAAGGGGGGGGGGGCTAGCTAAGGGGGGACGCCCCCCGCTTTGGGAGTGTACCACGGGCGCGCTCTCTCCGACGTCCCGTCCGAGCCTTCAAGACGCAGCCAGCCTGCGGGAACATCAGGCCGAGGGCACGGTAATGGTCATCATGATGGTGTTCTGATTAATGGTCTTGGGTATGCAGTTGATGATGATGTTGATGTTGATGCTGCTGATGCTGATGATGATGCTGTTGCTGATGATGATGGTGGTGGTGGGTGATGATGGTGGTGGGTGATGATGATGATGATGATGATGATGATGATGATGATGATGATGATGATGATGATGATGACGAATGAATGAATGAATGAATGAATGAATGAATGAATGGATGGATGAATGAATGAATGAATGAATGAATGAATGATGATGATGATGATGATGATGAGGATGAGGATGATGATGATGATGACGATGACGATGATGATGATGATGATGATGATGATGATGATGATGATGATGATGATGATGATGATGATGATGATGATGATGATGATGATGATGATGGATGGTGATGGTGATGGTGATGGTGATGGTGATGGTGATGGTGATGGTGATGATGTGGTCCACGCGGATTTGGTGGATCGGCGCTGGCCCCCCGTGGCAGCGCTTCAGCCGCCGCCCCTGTCGCGCTCCGCGCGCCAGGGAGGGGAGTCCAGCGCCGATCGGCGGCGCTGGAAGCGCTGCCACGGGGGGGAAGGCAGCGCCGATCCAAGAAATCCGCGGGGACATCCGAGAAAGTATCTTTGTACCCCTTTAAATTGCTCTATGAGTGGGAGGGGATTTTGGGGGGGACGAGGAGGAGGATACAATATGGCACGGCAGCGCCTGAAAGGAGGGACTGGAGGGGATGGGCCCATTCCCTTCGGTGCCATGGGATCGTGTGTCCACTCGCGTCGAGCCGTGTTTGGATTTCGCAGTGTACGTTGCCCTCGTACCTTCGCCGTGTTGGCGATTCCCAAGTAGATTTGGCTCAAACCACCTAGACTCAAGGTGTCACCTGTGTCTTCGACTATTCTAGGTATCCTGGCGTGTTGATATCGTGCATGTGCCTGTGGGAGACAATACACAAGATGTAGATTCGATCACGGCGTATACATTGTTAGGATGTGTGCTCATGGTATTTGTGTTGCCAGGATGTTGTGTTGTTTTTGTGTAGTGTATGTGTACTTGTTGGCACCGTTGGTAGCTCTCATCGGCAAGATCCAGTAATGGATATGGCTTCCAAGTGTGTTTATGAGTGATGCTGGTCAGTATGATCAGTTACCTCTTGTTTATCAGCCTGGCCATGGTCGTAGCGACAACTGCAAGTCCGCCATAGCGCCTCTCATTGTTCGCCCAGCTCATCGTAGCCTGGCGCCCGCCGCTGGACCCTGGAGTGCCTTCATCGATGGACCTCGCCAGCGCGATGCGCACGGTCTCTCGCTCGTTCTCCGACACCTGCGGGTTGTTTGAGGAGCGGCGCAGTGGGCGTGGTCTCTCGTATTGCATCCGCCGTCCTTTGAACGAGCTGTTGGCGGCGACTGCCGTGATGCCGCCGAGAGCTCCAGCTGTCCTGTGCAAGACACGCCTTTCTTGCTCCTGTGGTCGTTGCTGCTGTAGCGGCCGCCTCTGACGCTTCGAGTCCCTGGGACCCAACAGCTAGCCTCAGCAGCTGAGGGGGTGAACGCATCGACCCCCAAGCGCCCATTGATCAACGATGGGTGCCCGGTGGCCCACCACGCCCCGGAGTGTGCGGATTCGCCATCGGGGGTCTATCGCCGATCTATCGGCGATGTATCGCCGATTCCACGTCGGTTGTTTCCCTCCCTAAGGCAGTCCCCCGCTATCCCTGTCCCTCAATCGAGGGCTCGACGACGATGACGACGACGACGACGACGACGACGACGACGACGACGACGACGACGACGACGACGACGACGAGCGCACGAGCCCCGAGCGCGCGAGCCGCCCCGCCCCAGACGGGCACGGCGCCAGGGGCGTCCAGCGCTCGCCTCGGAGGGGGGCAGCCTGCGAGGAGGGCGCGCCCCGCAGAAGCTCGGGGGCTTCCCGTGGTGCCTCGCGCGCGTCTCCGCACAGTGTTTGGCCACCTCCGCGGCGACCGCGCGGCCGCCGCAGGCCGCTCTGTCTCGGTGGTTCCAAGATGGGGTTCTACGGGATGGGGTCCTAAGGATAGGACGAGGGGTCCAAGGCGGGGCTCGCCTAGATTCCGCCGATTCGGTTCGTTTCGGCTTTGATGGCTTCCGATTCGGCGTCGGCTTCGGTTTGCGATTTGGGTTCCGATGTCCCAGCGGAGGCCTACTAGCCTGCCGATTTCCGCCGACTCGACTTCTCCCGACTCGGCGGCCGATTCCCGCCGATCCGATTCGTTTCGATCGTTGAACCGATTTATGGATTCGCTTCCGCGCCCTCCAGTCCTGAGGGATGGGGTCCGAAGGATAGGAAGGGGTACAAGGGTCTCTTCCCCCTGCTGGTGGGAGAAGGAGAAGAAGGAGGATGAGGAGGAGGAGGAGGAGGAGGGTGAGGAGAAGGAGGAGGAGGAAGGGAGGGAAGAGCAGGAGGAGGAGGAGGAGAAGGAGAAGAAGAAGGAGGAGGAGGACAAGGAGGCGTCAGTCCGTTTCCAGCCGTTCTTGCGCAGGCACCGTCGTCAAGCGGCACAAGATTCCCAAGTCAGAAGGAGGCGGCTTCTACTCCCAGAAGGACCACTGGCTGGCCCTAGTAAATGGGATGATGGGTCGAGGTGGCGGAGATGGCGGAAGAGGGTTGTTCTCCTTCTTGCCTTCTTGCCCTAGGGGTGGCGTCCAAGGATGTAGATCACAGGTTGCCACACATATTTTGAACATGTGAGGTTGCGCATCGAGAGTATATTGTTTGAGCCCAAGTTAAAGACAACGTGCAAGGAAGAGCGATGGAGGACGAGGATGGAGACGAGGAGGAGGAGGAGGATGAGGAAAGGAGGAGGAGAAGGAGGATAGATGGGAAGGTGATGATGACAGCCTTGGTTTCTGTTGGAGGCCTCCTAAGGGGTCCTCGTCGCCACGATTGGATACCCGCTGGAACCCTGATCAAAATCGCACCAGGAGAGGTCCGAAGTTCGTCTTTGGAGGGAGGAGGAGCAGGAGGAGGCAGAAAAGAAGAAACTCCCAAGTAGATCAAGCGGAGGAGTAGCAGAAGAGCGAGGACCATTCCCTCCCCCCTTTTCGCTTACGCCCAGTACAAGGGGCCCCCTACTCCTCGCCTCCCGCTTAGTGTGCATCCGCCATCCTTTTCCTCTTCGTGACCCCCTTCTTTCCACACTTCCCCAAGCGTGCAACCGCCACCTGCCCTCCCCGCATTGCCATCCAATCTGCAGGGTTCCCAAGGCTCTTCCCAACTGAGCCTATCAGCGATATCGACTACAGAGTCTGTCGCCTGGGTGCAACGGTCGGGAACTTTTGGTTAGCTTGTCGCATGGCCGGTTCTGGCCCACCACGCTCCGTTCGCGACACGCTATCCACGTCCCAGCACCAGAGCGTCAACGTCCCAAGCCGTTCCCGCTCCCAACCTCCCGCCCCGCAGAGCATAGCGACACGCTATCGCCTCGCTAGGCATAGCGTGCCGCCTGGGCCGCCGCTGAGACACGCCAGGCAAAGGTTCCCAACCTGAAGGGCATTCATAGTCACAGCCCTCCGCTCCGTTGTAGGGCAGGGCCCGCGCGATGCACGAAGCAGCGAGGACCTGTGAGCTTAGAGTTGGTTGAACTTAGTGGAGCGTGCACGGACAGCCACACCGAATCACCAGGACAGCATAAGTTGTCATTGCGCAGGCCGCTATGAGGCGCACCTCACCAGGGTCTCAGTCTGAAGAGCTCTTGAGATCAGCCAGATGGCCGGTGCAGAGGTAGAGGGCTCAAACAGGGGAGGGAGGCCCGAACGGTTTTCCAACGATTTGTGCTTCTCTTCTGCCCATTTCGTCTCCCCCCAGGGTCCATTTCAATCCGATCTGTCCGATTCGATATCGAATCCCGCCGGGTAGATCCGATTCGATCCCGGTCCCTCTATGACGAGGATCGGACGCGGTTATGTGTCTGCTTGGCGTTGTCGTGCAATCTAGAGCAGCCGAACATATTCGATGTCGATCCCGTGCTGATGCAGCCCGATCCGACGCACATTCCGATTCGATACCATGTCCCGGTTAGATGTTCTTCGAGATTTTCCCCCCCTATCGGTCCTTGCGTCCGCGAACTCGAGCACGTCATAGCACCTTGTCCCGCGCGGTTTGTCAAACGATCTGGCATGCAGAAGTGATGGTTCGTCAATTTCCATCTGGTGCCGAGTTTGCCATTGCTATCTCCAGCTTGAGCACTTCTCAGGACCTGGCCTGTCGCACCACGGTCAAGATTTACTCTCACGCGTACCGCATCTACGACTGCGACGAGTTCACGCACCGGCCTCAGACACGCGGAGGTTGCTGCTCCAAGGGGGCGTCTGGTCCGTTTGGTATCGTTGTGTCTGCGCTCGGTGGTTCTTCCGCCAGGACTGTGACACACGCCAGATGTCGAAGCACTAACGCCAATGGAAAATATGCCTGACAACGTGGAGGTAGTTTGAAACTGCTTCTGAACATCGAGCACAGTTGTTCGTTTCGTATTGGTGACCTGGCAGTCGGCATTTGCTTGCGTAAGTCATCTTATGATATTGTAGATGGTTTCGTTTTGCACGAGTAGTTCAATGGTCGAGCAATTGCACCGGATTCGATTCAGATGGTTGCACTTGTGGCACATGGCGTGATCACGGGAACCAGATGTAATACGTAGCATCCCGCAGTTGCAGATAAGAGTGATGGGGTGGCGGGGACGTTGGCAGTCTGCGAGTCTCTGAAAAAGACCGCCGCAGGCGCTTTATTTTTACAAATCATAGAGCGAGCTCGCCGCAGGCGCCGATTTTTTCGTCAAAGCAATTTGGGTGGGTCGCGGGTGGGTCGCGGGTGGGTCGCCGGGTAGGTCGCGGGTGGGTCGCGGGCCAGGTCCCGGGTGGGTCGCGGGGGGGTCGCGGGGGGGTCGTGGGGGGGTCGCGGGCGGGTCACGGGGGGGGGGGGGTCGCAGGTGGGTCGCGGCCCGAGTCGCAGGGGGGACGAGGACAACAAACGACTAACAATAACCAACAACCAACAGCCAACAACCACCAACAACAACAGCAACAACAATAAGAACAACAACCACAGCAATCCGCACCGCAGAAATTTACTTCAGCCCCGCGCCCAGGGACAGTGAATGACCGCTCTGCCCCCTCACTCTGACCAGTGTCTCGGTCTAGGTGTGCATGTGGTTGTGTGTTGTGCTGTGCTTTGCTGTGTTGTTTTGTGATGTGTTGTATTGTGTGGTGTGTTGTATCGTGTCGTGTTGTGTTGTGTTGTGTAGTGTTGTGTTGTATTGTGTTGTGTAGTGCAGTGTTGTGATGTGTTGTGTTTTGTTGTGTTGTGTTGTGTTGTGTAGTGATGTGGGTTGTGTGTTGTCACCCATCAATATCTCTTTATTTCTCTCTCATTTCTATTATCTGTCTCACATTGTCTTGCCAAAAGTGCGATCGAGATCACCAACGCGAAAGGGTATGATTAATTTGCGCAATCTCTCCAGCACGGGTCAGGCATCACGAAGGAGCCGCCCCTTGTCACGCATTACAGTGACGGTCACGTGCAGATGTGTGGCACACTGGCGTTCCCCGCAGGCGACGATGCCAGCGCACATAGACGATGCGGGGGGAAAGGCCAGGCAGGCTAAGGATGAGGATAAGCCGCTGCAGGGCGTTCCAGCGTTCCAGAGCACTATGGGACGTTCCCGGCGCCCGATGCGTCCTCCAGATTCGTGGCTCTCAGAGACTCCTTCCTCCTCCTCTTGCCCCCCCTCCTCCTCTTCCTCCGCCTCCTCCTCCTTTCATCTGCATCCGCAGTCATCCTCAGCCTGCCTTCGTCTTGAGCCGGCTGGCGCCCACATCACAAACGCGCATCAGGGCAACCTCTCGTCGGCACGTCCGTGGCCGGTGATTCTGGCCCCAGGGCGGCGGGGATTTGGCTCTTTGCAGACTGGCCCCACGGGGTGCGGTCTCACAGGCGTTCCAGCCCCAATCAAGTTTTGCCACCATCGATCTGGCTAACGTGACACCCTCCCCACCTACCCCTCCTCCCCCGTACCCCGCCGCGTACTAGAGCGGCTACGGCGCGTTCCGATTTCTACCCGCCCTCTCGGGTCTCTTGGGGAGGCCGGCTGGTTTGCTCCCGTGCGCTGCTTCTCGCGACCTGGTGCGAACCACTCGTTCCAAAAGCGGGGAAGGAAAGGCAGGGGAGAAGGGGGAGGAGGAGGAGGAGGGGGAGGGAGGGGGAGGAGGAGGAGCTGCGCTGCTTCTCGCGACCTGGTGCGAACCACTCGTTCCAAAAGCGGGGAAGGAAAGGCAGGGGAGAAGGGGGAGGAGGAGGAGGAGGGGGAGGGAGGGGGAGGAGGAGGAGCTGGAGGGGGGGGGAGGGGGGAAGGAGAAGGAGGAGGAGGAGGAGGGACCAGGAAGGAGGAGGAGGAGGAGGAGGAGGAGGAGGAGGAGGAGGAGGGAGGAGGAGGAGGAGGAGGAGGAGGAGGAGGAGGAGGAGGAGGAGGATGAGGAGGAGGAGGAGGAGGAGGAGGAGAGGAGGAGGAGGGGGGGGAGGAGGAGGAGGGAGGAGGAGGAGGAGAGGAGGAGGAGGAGGAGGAGGAGGCGGGAGGAGGAGGAGGAGGAGGAGGAGGAGGAGGAGGAGGAGGAGGAGGAGGAGGAGGAGGAGGAGGAGGAGGAGGAGGAGGAGGAGGAGGAGGAGGAGGAGGAGGAGGAGAGGAGGAGGAGGAGGAGGAGAGGAGGAGAGGAGGAGGAGGAGGAGGAGGAGGAGGAGGAGGAGAGGAGGGAGGAGGAGGAGGAGGAGGAGGGGGAGGAGGAGGAGGAGGAGTGAGGAGGAGGAGGAGGAGGAGGAGGAGGAGGAGGAGGAGGAGGAGGAGGACAAGCTAGGTGCGCTCGCGTCAACATCTGACATCCTACCCCTCCCTCCCATCCCTTCCCATTGAGCTACTTCATTGTCCTCTCACCGAATCGGGCTTCGCATCTGACCCTGTTACCTAAGAGGGAAAGGAGGAGGACGACGGCGCGATGAAAACGAAGACGACGACGACGAAGACGACGACGACGACGACAACCACGACGACGACGACGACGGCGACGACGACGACGACGACGACGATGAGGACGACCGGCGACGAAGACGACGACGACGACGACGACGACGCGACCGCGCCGGAGCGGCACCCGCGCCAGCTGCCCGCTGCTGTTACGCGCGTCCCCCACCCGGATTGAAGGACCGGAAAGACTCGGATTTTCAAAAACATAGATGAAAACCAAACTCCCGGGAATCCTGTGCGGGGAGGGGGAGGGGGAGGGGGGGGGAGGAGGAGGAGGAGGAGGAGGAGGAGGAGGAGGAGGAGGAGGAGGAGGAGTAGGGAGCAGGAGGAGGAGGAGGAGGAGGAGGAGGAGGAGGAGGAGGAGGAGGGTGGGGGAGGAGCCTTCGCTCTCGCTCTCATCCGCTGCTGCTGGGCTCTACGTCTACACTCCTGTGCAGGGGCCAGTGGCAATGTCAACTGTCAACCCAGGGCCGCGGGCTACCTGGGGATGCCCGCCCCCGGGTTCCTCTTGGGTACGCCCGCCCCTCGGGCGTCGACTAATTGGGATGCGATCGATGGGCAGCTGCCTCTCTCACCAACACCTCAGAAACACAAGCTGCGCAGCTACCCTTCGCGCCTCGTTGGGAACAAAAGCTACAACGACGGTTCCTCGAAGCACTGTGCAACTGTTTGTTTTTTCTGCATGCCTGCACGCTTGTGATCCGCATGCTCAATATGTTTGCCAATACGCCGTCAGGGCGCGGCTTCGTTCGTTCGTTCGATAGATGGAGGAGGGGAGGGAGAAAAGCTGCAAGGTGCACGCTTCTCCCCCTCCCCTCTTCATCACTTCTTCATCGATTAACTCCCGACCCCCCCCCGTCCCTCGGGGTTACCTGGGGATGCCCGCCCCTGGGTTCCTCTGTTATGACCCCAAGTGCTGATGATCGCGCCGAAGTTGGCGGCTGGAATGTTCCTTCGGACCCCCGCGGGCCGCGTTGCGTGCGTTGCCGAACATCGACACGTGCGTTTGGTTTTGCGGAGGGTTGTAGGACAGGGATAAATCGTTCCAGGTTGTTCCAGAACGTCGTCAGAGCGGTCCGGCTCCCTCCGTTCCTCGAGGCATTCGCCTCCTTGAGAGGTAATGCAGCGCGGATCAAAGCAGAGCAACGGTACAGCAGTTCATCACAGAGCGAGGGAGTGCAGCGCAAGGCATGGAGAAGAAGAGTGAAACGAAATCTTTATCTTGTAGAGCAGCGCATATTGAAGTAAAACGGCCTTGCAGGCAAAGCGACGAATGCGAAATTGCAAAGCCAAGCAATGCTAAGCAAAGCGTGCGATGCAATGCAGAGTCAATCATCGCCATGTAATACGAAGCAGCCCGATGCAGCACAAAGGAGTTGAAGGCTGAGCAATGCGGTAAACAGTTCTGCTGCGCAATGAAAAACAGTCCAGTGCAAATCAGCTCTCAGCAAAGCAGCGCAGGTCGAAGCGAAACAAAGCAGGAGCAGCAAAGCAGCACAATGCACTGCAATGAACTGCAGAGCAGAGCAAGGCAACTCGAGGCAGAGTGGATCAGAGCAGCGCTATACGACGCCGTAGCATGTGACACCCTGCTCCCCTGATGCCATTGATAGGAAAGCAAAAAGAAACATACACATAACATCTCGGAGGTCCGCGCTCCGAGTTTTTTATGTTTATGCCATTTGTTGTTCCCCTATTGACGCTTCTCATGTCCTCCCCAGCTCATCCCGAAACGATGCCCAGGCGAGCTGCCTTGATCAGGAGAGTGCAGCAGCACGCCGCGGAACAGAGGGGGGGGGACCGGCCGTCAAGCCGAACGAGCAGACCCAGAAGAGAGCCACGGATTCATTCGCGGCGCTTTCGGAGGAGGGGGGAGGAGGAGGAGGAGGAGGAGGAGGAGGAGGAGGAGGAGGAGGAGGAGGAGGAGGAGGAGGAGGAGGAGGAGGGGGAGGAGAGGTCTTTCGGGGGTTCCTCCAAAGGGGCAGGAAAGGGCCCATGGCCACCACAGGCCGACGTTGGGCCAAGATCTTGGTGGATACGGCCTTCCAGTTTGACCCTGAGCCGATGCCGACAAGCCCGTAATACATACAGGCCCAAGTTGGGGCCTGGATCTTATCCAGGCTCCAATTTGGGCCTGCGGAGGCAACGATAACGAGAACGATCAGTGATAACGACCGGCGATAACGATCAGCTATAACGATAACGATCCAACGATCGTTATCGATCGCTATCGCTATCGATCGTTATCGCTACCGATCGTTATCGCTACCGATCGTTATCGTTGCCTTTCCCCCCGCCACCCCGAAGCTTCCTACGTCACACCCAGGGGGCTTACACCGCGCCCAGGCGGCCTCGGCCGGAGAGTTGCCACTCTCCAGGGTGGCCTCGCGGGCGCGGTGCGCGAGGCTGGGTGTCCTGGAAGTTTGGGAAAAGGTTTGGGATGAGGGGCCGATGGTCCACCACTACTGCCACGGGTAGGGGAGGGCGGAGAAGGAGGAGGAGCAGGAGGAGGAGCAGGAGCAGGGCAGGAGCAGGAGCAGCAGCAGGAGCAGGAGCAGCAGGAGCAGGAGCAGGAGCAGCAGCAGGAGCAGGAGGAGTAGGAGGAGGAGGAAGAAGAGGAGGAGGAACAGCAGGAGCAGGAAGAGGAGGAGGAGGAGGAGGAGGAGGAGGAGGAGGAGGAGGAGGAGGAGGACCTCCCCATCCGTAGGAAGTGGGCCCGTCATGGAAAGCTGGGTCAAGCGAGTAGTTCCTTGGCAGGCGCGCCTTACCGAAGCGACTGGCGGGCACAGAACCCGCATTTTCGATGCTACGGCCTCCACGCCGTGCCCTGATGGGCACGGGCGGGCTTCCGAGCAGAGGGCGCACGACTCCCGAGTCTGGGCTTCTGTGCTGGGCTTGAACACCCCAAGCCACACGGACCCGACCATTTACTAAACGGCCTTGGGCGTTTAACAGCCCTGCCCTGTTCGATTCCTTCCCTGGGTGCGTTTACTCAACGGCTTCGCTTGTCGGGGTGATTATGATGGGGGGGGGATTTTCCGCCATCTAGAGAGGCTCGAAAAAGCATCCTGGCCGGCCGAGGTCGGCTCGAGACCTGCGGCGTCGTCGTCTTTTTGTTTGCTGCCTCACGACGTGGGCCCCGGAGCTCTCTCAGACCCCAGGAGCCAGCTTCTCGTCGCGGCCGTCCGCCGCTGGCCCCAGGGCCTGATAACATCGGGGGGGCGTCCTGTCAGGAACGTCTGCTCCGCGTGCCGCGCCGCCGATTCTGGCCCACCGCGCTCGGGCGCCACACGCTGACCGCGTCCCGGACCACAAGCCTCATGTCAGGCATGTCCCTTTACAACAGGAACCTCCGAAAGTAATATTAAAAAGTCGTCTGGGAACGATTTTTCTACTATTTTGCTCAGTTTTTGATTACCGAGTTTTTTCTTCAAACCCACCTGTAGGAGGACACGCCCGACCTAACCCAAGCGTCAGCGTAGCCCAGGGAACGAACCCAGCTATAGCCTCGCGCTTCCTCCTACCAGAGTCATGTGTTTGGAGCCCGCCCTCTGGCCCTGCCCCACCGAGAACGACCCCCCCGAGAGCGGCCCCTGGAGGCCGAGAAGTGGCCCCAGGAGACGCCGGTTGCGATTTCTGCTCGCGACGCCCGACGGTCCAGGGCCCTTTGCGGCCGGCGAGGCGCCAGCATGGCGAGCATCGGCTGCGCGCAAGAGTCACCCTTGGCTGGAGTGGCCTTTGGTGCGGGCCCACAAAGGGTCCCCCCAGCAGCGGCCTGCGCGCTTGGAAGTGGGCCCCCTGCAGCCGCGCACCAGAGGTCACTCTTGCCCAGGGTCACTCTTGCGTGTAGCCGAGAGCAGGCTGGAGAGCGAAGCGATGCTTCACGCTTCGCTTTTTGTGTGCTGGGGGTGAAGGCAGAGGGGGCGGGCTTTTCAGGCCTTCGCAGACGCCTTCTAACTCTACCCCGAAGACAGAGCCGGCTTCTCAGCAGGCCAGATGGCGTCTGAGACGCCCCGCCGCCTTCTGAGATGGCCTGCCCCCTCTCACTTTCCAATTGGGCTCGCTGCCGATGAACGCCCCCATCTACCATTCCCGGTGAAGGAGAAGCGACACCACCACCACCACCATGGGGGCCACATCCAGCGTGGAGGTGCACAATGCCTCCCCGAGCTTGGGAAAGGGGATGTCTCGAGCGAGACGGGGGGGACCACACCACCAGGGGGAACCCCTCTGGCCCCTCCAGCTGGTGGTCCCTGGTGGTAGTGGTGTCGCTTCTCATGGAGGCGCAAACATGGATATAAGGCGCGTGGATCAGCGACGGGGTCCATGTTCGCAAAGTGAGGCGGCACTGGCGCCATGCTTCGGGGACTGCGCTCCCAGATCAGTGGGTCTGGCACCCGCGCACCGGATCCACGGATCCCTGATCCATGTCAGCCTTTGGTTGAATATTTCCTTGTTCGGACAGTGGAGGCCCATGCCAAGAAACACCCTGCTTACCTCCAGGGTGCCCTGGGTGTCTTGGGTTTCGATGGTTTCACTGTGGAAGGCGTGACGCTCCCGCGCCAGATATCCATGGACGTCCTGGGGTCTCAGGGTTTTGGGGCTCTTGTGGAAGGCTTCCTGTGGTCGGGCCTCCACTGTACAGTCAACAATGATAGTAAGGATGGGGCAACTTTCCAAGGCTACCCTTGCATCCTTGCCCCTTCGGTATTGGGCATCCTTTGGCATTCTGCTGTGCTCCGCACGGCAAACGTCAACATGGCGTTCCAAGGCCCTTGCATCCGTACCGCGCATCCTTACTGTCCTGGTCGAGTGTAGTCCGTGTCAGCGTTTGTCCGAAGATGTTCCTGCTCCTGCCTTCTGGGCTGGCCAGCGAGGCGCCAGTACTACGAGCAGGCCGGAGGGGCGCAGCCGCCGCCGGAGGCGCTCCCGGACGACCTGCTCGCCATGGAGGCCACGCGGCGCCCACAGGCCCCGGGGGCCCGCCGCCACAGCCGCGGCCCGTCGTCGCCCTCGTCCTTGAAGTCGGCCACGTGCCTCCACAGGAGGAGTGTGCAAGAATGGTTCGGCAACAGTCTGGGGACGATGTGTTCTATACTATGCTTGACTATGTGGGCGCATTTGCGGACTATTTCTGTGTTGCCTTCCAAACAAAGACCTGACTCTTCACCCTTCGTGGCGCGCACGACCGGGAGGGGGCGTCGGAGAAGGGCCAGTCAAAATTCGCGGGCGACTTTTATTCCCCCGCTCCCGGAGTTCCGTCCAGAGAGACAGGCCGCTCAGAAATGGTGGATTTCTGGGATGCACCCCCAGGGGGGCTATTCAGACGCACAATTATCGAGGATGGGCGGCTCACACTCGTACAGCCCTGAGTCGGGCCCCAGATTGTGCGTCCAATCGAAAGCCGCACAAAGTCTGGGATGCCGGTCGTCATACTCCCCGTTGAAAGTTTTCACATGTTTTCGAAAGTTCGCGGAGATGTCCTGGACTTGGAATGGTTTCCATCAGGTCCGCATCGTCGAGGGCGATCCAGAGATGCCAGAATCGTCCACAACCGTGGCACGAGGCCCAAGTTATGGACCCTTTTCTCTAATCGGAGTAGGGCCCGCCCTTTCTGGGCCTCCTGGGGACTTATCGTCGCCACGGCCGGATCCGCCTCGAGACATCTGTTAGGATGGACCCTGGGAGGGGTCCAGGGATTGATTTTTAGCGAATTGGGGCTGGATGGGAGAGCCGCCGTTGTATCATCTGGCCCTCCTCAAGATAGCCAAAGATGCCTCATGATGACTCCCAATATGCTACAAAAGGCCTCCGAGACCTCCAAGGAGGCCCCCAACGAAGCGACCCCCAGACCTCCGACGCAGCCTCGGGCCCCCGGACCTCTGAACCACTTCCCTGGGCCGGTTTTTCGGTCCGGGTCGTTTTCTGGTGGCCCCGGGGCCCAGGAAGCGGCCTCCCAGATCCCGAAACCCGCGAAAAAAATTGGACTCGACATTCTCGAACCTCCGGAAGTCTAGGTCCGAGGGCGGCCCCCGCCCGAGGAACACGGGAGGCAAGCGCGGGAGGCGAGCCGGAGGGGCGAGACAGGGTTTTTTTTGTCTGTGCAGAATCTTCCGCAACACAGGTTTTTCCTTGCGAAATGTGCCTCATCACGTTGTTGACACTACGTTGTTGACACTATGCTGTTGACTCTACGTAAAAACAACGCGTTGTTGACACTACGTTGTTGACACTACGTTGTTCCGCTGTGTACACTACGTAACAACAGCGAGTTGTTGACACTACGCTGTTGACTCTTCGCTTTTGACACTACGCTGTAGACACTACATTGTTGACACTACACTGTTGACACACTACGCTGTTGACACACTACGGTGTTGACACACTACGCTGTTGACACACTACGTTGTTGACGCACTACGCTGTGGACACTACGCTGTTGACACTACGCTGTTGACACACTACGCTGCTGACACACAATACGCGGTTGACACACTACGTTATTGACACTCTACGCTGCTGACACACTACGCTGTTGACACACTACATTGTTGACACACTACGTTGTTGACACAATACGCGATTGACACACTACGTTGTTGACACTACGCCGTTGGCACTGCGCTGTTGACACTGCGCTGTTAACTTACCTAACGCTTAAACCGCCGCCTCCCACAGAAAGAAACAAACAGCATGCAAAGCCGCCACGGAGCCGAGAGAGCATCTATATATAATGATATAGCCTCCGGGGAGGTACGAGGGAGGAAGCGGGAGCAGGATTAGGACGACAGACACATCCATTTGATTCGAACGCCTTTGGCTGCAATTTGTAAACATGATGTACACATGTGATAGGCGGGAGGATGTATAGGGAGACGGCTACACAGATACATAGATGTACATATCAACATAACCATTGCATACACCATGATCCCCTTTTCTTCGTGGTCCTTGAAAGAAGAATGGGGAGATCATCGTGCGGTGTGGTGTAGGGCGCGGGGGCTGAAGAGTAGACGGGTAATGTCAAGTTAGGTTTGGGAAGGGTGCTTAATGAGCGTTGGAGACGGAGGGAGCTGAATGAATGGATCTGTTCAAGTTCGTCTTGGGCAGGGAGCCTGCTGAATAGACGGTGTGGTGTTCGGGACGAAGGTTGTTGAGTGTTGCGTGTGCCATTTGGGAATGGAATGGGGTCGAGTAGAAGGATAGTTTCAAGCAAAATTTGGGGAGGAGCCTGTTGAGTAGTGGGAGTGGTGTTGGAGGCGAAGGCTGTTGAACAACGGGTGTGGTGTTGGAGACGGACAGAGTCGAGCATAAGGATATGTTCAAGTTTATCTTGGGAAGGGAGTCCGTTGAATCGTGTGTGTGGTATTGGGAGGGGGCCTGTTGAGTAGTGAGTGTGATTTTGGAGACAAAGGCTGGTGAGTAATTATCGAATTTCCTTCGGCCCATCCCGCCACCGTGCATTGGTTGTGGGTATGAAGCCTATTGGATATTCGTTGGGATATCGTGGGAGGCCTCTCGGGGCCCCCTTGGAGGCAGTTAGGAGGCCTCTTGGGGGCCGTTTTGGGGCCTCTTTGGGCTTGTTTGGGCTTCTTGGAAGCCTCTTGGGGCTCTTGGGAACTCTTGGGGCGGAAGGCTCGGATTTTCAGTTCGTGTTCCCTCTCTTGGGCTCTGTTGGGGCCCTCTTGGGCCGTCTTGGGCGAGGCAGTCTTGGGGTCCTCTTCGAAGCCTCTTGGGCCGTTTTGAGGAGGTATCGGGGGCCTCTTGGGCCGTCTTGGGCGTCCGAAGGCCGAAAAGGCGAGAATGCAAAAATCAATTATGTTTTGTCCCAACCATCCTGTGGTGTTGGGTCATCGTTTTGAAGAGACGGTGCCCCGCGTTCCCGCCTCATCCTTCCTCCTCTCCATCCTGCTCCTCTCCCTCCTCCCTGCGTTTCACCCACCGAGTACAGCGTTTCGTGGCCCCATAGGGTGCTCCGCCGAAGGCCCCAGTGGCAGGGTCCGCATGCAGTTCCACCTCCATTTCGGCGCACCCCTCACACGTTTCGTGACCCCATAGAGAGCTCCACCGAAGGCCCCAGTGGCAGGGTCCGCATGCAGTTCCACCCCCATTTCGGCGCACCCCTCACACGTTTCGTGGCCCCCATAGGGTGCTCCGCCGAAGGCCCCAGTGGCAGGGTCCGCATGCAGTTCCACCCCATTTCGGCGCACCCCTCACACGTTTCGTGGCCCCATAGGGAGCTCCCCGAAGGCCCCAGTGGCAGGGCAGCCCTCACACGTTTCGTCCATGCCCCAGTTCATGCCACCCCATTTCGGCGCACCCCTCACACGTTTCGTGGCCCCATAGGGTGCTCCGCCGAAGGCCCCAGTGGCAGGGTCCGCATGCAGTTCCACCCCATTTCGGCGCACCCCTCACACGTTTCGTGGCCCCATAGGGAGCTCCACCGAAGGCCCCAGTGGCAGGGTCCGCATGCAGTTCCACCCCATTTCGGCGCACCCCTCACACGTTTCCCCCATAGGGTGCTCCGCCGAAGGCCCCAGTGGCAGGGTCCGCATGCAGTTCCACCCCCCATTTCGGCGCACCTCTCACACGTTTCGTGACCCCATAGAGAGCTCCACCGAAGGCCCCAGTGGCAGGGTCCGCATGCAGTCCCACCCCCCTTTCGGCGCACCCCTCACACGTTTCGTGCCCCCTATAGGGTGCTCCGCCGAAGGCCCCAGTGGCAGGGTCCGCATGCAGTTCCACCCCCATTTCGGCGCACCTCTCACACGTTTCGTGGCCCCATAGGGAGCTCCACCGAAGGCCCCAGTGGCAGGGTCCGCATGCAGTTCCACCTCAATTTCGGTGCACCCCTCACACGTTCCGTGGCCCCCATAGGGAGCTCCGCCGAAGGCCCCAGTTGCAGGGTCCGCATGCAGTTCCACACTCATTTCGGCACACCCCTCACACGTTTCGCGGCCCCATAGGGTGCTCCACCGAAGGCCCCAGCGGCAGCGCCCGCATGCAGTTCCACTTCCAGTTCGGCGCACCTCTCACACGTTTCGTGGCCCCACAGGGTGCTCCGCCGAAGGCCCCAGTGGCAGGGTCCGCATGCAGTTCCACCCCCATTTCGGCGCACCTCTCACACGTTTCGTGGCCCTATAGGGTGCTCCGCCGAAGGCCCCAGTGGCAGGGTCCGCATGCAGTTCCACCCCCCTTTCGGCGCACCCCTCGAACGTTTCGTGACCCCTATAGGGAGCTCCACCGAAGGCCCCAGCGGCAGCGCCCGCATGCGGTTCCACTTCCATTTCGGCACACCCCTCACACGGCTCGTGGCCCCATAGGGAGCTCCACCGAAGGCCACAGTGCTGCGTTCGCATGCGGTTCCACCCCCCCATTTCGGCACACCCCTCACAAATTTTCGTGGCCCTATAGGGTGCTCCGCCGAAGGCCCCAGTGGCAGGGTCCGCATGCAGTTCCACCCCCATTTCGGCGCACCCCTCACACGTTTCGTGGCCCCTATAGGGTGCTCCACCGACGGCTCTGGTGGCAGCGTCCGCATGGCGTACCCGTGCCAATTTTGGCACACCCCGTCACACGCGTCGTGACCCCAGAGAGGTTCACCGAGGTCGATGCCCACAGCTGCGTCACTCACAACTGCACATGGTTGGGCCCCTCGCCAGGATAATTCTTTGGGGGCCCTCTTGCGATACCTCTTGGAGCGTCTTGGCGGCCTCTTGGGCCATCCTGGGACCATCGTGGAAGTCTTGGAACGATCTTTGGGCGATTCGAGGCCCTCTTAGACAGTTTTAGGAGCCTCGTGGGGCCATCTTGGCCCGCCTTCGGGCCCTCTTGGGCCCAGATGCGGGAACACTTCCCAGAGCCCAGGGCGCACGCCCGGAGCCCCAGGAGATTTCGGATTTAGGGGTCCGGGCCTCTCGAAGACTCTTCAGGAGTGAGGACTGATGCCCCAGGGATTAGGCAAATGACCC